ATGCTCCAGGAGAGAAGGAACATCTGAGAAGAGGGAAACCACAGAATACTATTGAGTGACAAGGAGTGTGGCTGGAGAGGCTTATGACAGGTTTAGTAATATAAATGCTAATACTTAAAAAAAAAACTTGGATTTTACAGCACCTGATTGCTCTATTATCTGCTCTCCTTCTCACAAGCCTCCCCCCAATCCAAATTATCCCATGGGGGCTTAAAGGATCCACTGCCTTCCAATATCTCTAAAACATATAACCACCTCACAGCCTTCTTTGGCCCTGCTGGATGGTGTGTGTGTGTGTGTGTGTCTGTGTGTGTGTGTGTACTGCAGACCTCAATGACATTGGAGTCGGAGAAGCCAGGGAGGCGCTGGTCCTTGCAGATGACCCCGGCGTCCTCATCATGTGTGCAGTCACTGTTCCCCCAGCCCCGGGAGGCACATTCTGCTACACTCTGCTCAGTCCCAGTGCAGCTCAGATTGTCCAGCCAGATGCGGCCTATAGAAGGGGGGAAGAGGGAAGGGAGAATAAGGAGATGCTAAGGGAGTGATTGGATGCTGAATGCTGAGGAGAGGGAGCACGGTGGCCCTTACACCTGGCTGTAAGGATGATACTGCTTCTAAAAAAATTTTTTTTTTCTGATGAGAGAAAAGGGTGGAGAAAGGATCAGGGACTCTAGAGGGGAAAAGGAAAGAGGGCATAAGATTGATGGAAGGAAGCCAGGCTCTGGTGGCTCACCACTGCAATCCTAGCTACTTGGGAAGCTGAGATGGGGAAAGGGGGACACCGAAGTTCCAGGCCAGCTCTGGCAAAAAGTTTGTGAGACCCCATCTCAGGGGGAAAAAGTGGGTGTGGTGGCACATACCTGTCATTTCAGCTTCAGCAGGGAGTTTAAAATAAGAGGATCATGGTCCAGGCTGGCCTGGGTAAAAGCCAAGACCCTATTTCCAAAATAACCAGAGCAAAAGAGTTGGAGACATGGTTTAAGTGGTAGAGTACCTGCCTAGCAAGTGCAAGTCTGGAGTTCAAACCCCAGTAACAGCATTAAAAAAAAAAAAAGATTGATGTTGGTAGCGATGTGGGGATACTCAAGAATTTATTAGGGGACTGGAGGCACAGCTCAAGTGATAGAGCACCTGCCTCACATGTGCAAAGTCCTGACTTCAAACCCTAGTCACAACTCCCCCAAAAAAGAATTCATTAAGGTAAATAAAAAATACCAAGAATGAACACTGAAGTTCTGATCAGTCCTTACCCAATCAATGAGAGCTACAATTAATCACATGCCTACTGTGTGCCGGGTATCTATTGTGTGCCAGGTACTCTGCCAATGGTGTGTACATAATTATTCTTTGGAGTTCAGAGAAGTAGCTTGCCTAAGACCATACTGTCAATACATGGGGGCTTGGGAATTTGGCTGATTGGTGAGAGTTGGCAGTACAAGATCTTTTCACCACACAATGACATATCCCCTCATGCTTGTCCGGTCTGAGCTGTCCTGTAGCTCCTTGTTTTTTCTGTCTAGACCATACTGAATATCACTGAATTCCTTTCAGAATTGGGTGGAACCTCAAAGGTATTTGTCCTAGCCAATGTGCAGCAAACCCTCATTCGTATTCCAACAGGACTTATCCTCTTGCCCCACCAGACCACATAATCATCAGAAAGTCCTGGTGAGTCTTTATGACTTTCTCCACCAGGTCTGATTCAGTCCTTTGATGTTATCCAGAAAAACCTCTCAGTCATATGACTATTCTTCCCATATTTCAATACAACCATCATGTAATTGCTATCCAACGGTTTTTGATTCTACACCAAACCTCTGGTTTCTTCAGCTTTTCCTCCTGAAACTTGGCTTCTGAATCTTTCACATCTGGGCAGCTCTTCCCTGAAAGCATTTCCATTTTCTATTGTTCCTCTCAAAATGTGGCATCTACAAGTGACACATCACCCCAGAGGTGGTCTAACTACTGGGAATTAGGGAAATCAGCTGTAGGTTGCATCCATTTCTGTCCACCAATCCCATTGTGGGTCCATATGGTGCCAGGACCTCTAGACCTCTGAGAATTCTTAGTCTGTCCCCACCTTATACTTGTCTTATGTCAATTTCAGCTTGCTAGTTTTAGCTCTGGTCTGTAACCTGATTTTGTTATCTGTGATTCCTTCTGGTTTGGGGACATCCAGACACCATTTTTCTGTTCTTAGCTTCTCATGAAACTAACTGTACTTTCACCATATAGGGCTCACCTGTCTCTGGGCTTTCCTTTGCTTGATTTTGTAGAATCCTACTTTTTGCGGCAGAAAGGAACTTAGAGATCAGCTAGTCATTGTGCATATGGTACATCTGAGACTCACAGAAAGCACTGATGAGCCTAAGTTCACATAGCTCTGGAAATAATACACTGCTTGGTTTATCATCTTTGGGGTTACAATGTCCCAGTGGTTATGCCATACTGGTATTCCTTTCTCTGCATTTAGGCCACATTTAAGTAATACCTAGAGCATTGCTCACCTGTTCCAGGCCCATATTTGGCACTGTGGGTCCAGCCTGTGGCCTCTGTGAAGCCCAGCTCCCGGCAGAGGACGTGGGCAGCCTGCAGTGTGAAGTCATCATCGCAGATGGTGCCCCATTCACCGGCTCGCTGTATCTCCACACGGCCCTCATAGGACTTCCTGGGGAAGCCAGCCAGCCGGAATCGAAGTCCCTGACTTCCTGCCTTCTTCTCAGGGCCAGTGGAAGGGGATGGAGATCCCAAGCACAAGCTGCATAGCAGGCACAGCAGCAGCCCCAATGGGCTCCACTGCCAAACACTGACAAGTTGCATGGCAGGGAAGGCCTGGGAGGGAGAGGAGATGAGAACAAAGGAGACAAGAGGAGAGAAGAGGAGAAGAGAGGAGAGACAACCTCAGAGACAAGAGATAGAAACACTAAGTGAGGGCAGAGGCACAAAACAAAGAGGCCCAGTCTTAGAGACCCAGGTTGGGAGGTGACGGAGAGAGGTTCTCCTTCTGTTTTGTAAATAATAAAACCTTCCTTGTTAGTTAACTCACAGTACTTTTCCTTAGTTCTGCTCCCACTTACCGTCATATCAAAAGACAGAGGTTAGAGACAGAAAGTCAGAGAATGGTCATTATTTTGACCATTGAAAAGAGACCCAGAAGAGGCACACAGAGAAGACCCAGACAAAACAGGATGTGAGAGGAAGGGAGACTGTGGGAATAAGAGAAACAGAAGAGACAGGGAAAGAGTTGCACTGAAGATAGAAGATGATTGGGAGTGAGGGAAAGAGGCAGAAAATATGGAAGAGAAGAGAGGGAGTGACAAGAGCAAAGGAGCAGACACAGGAGGAATGACCAGATGACTGGTTCAGCCATGCATATGGATAGCTGTATTAATTAAGAAAAGAGGTAGGTGAGGCAGCCTGAGAGACCCTCAGATCTCAGATTCCCTGAATGAAAATCTTATCTGCAGATTCCTATCTGGTTAGATTCCCAGGCAGGGAGGGCAGACACGAGAGCACAGAGAACTGCTGTACACCCTCCACAGCACACCGGCTCACAGATGCCCTGTAGGGTCAAGGGAGCCACGCTGGGCAGGGTTTGGGGTGGGGTTGTGCAAGCTTTCTGCCAACACCACTGTCGCTGTCATCGGGCAACAGGAGGCCAGGGCTAACTACAGGCTCCTCGGCCAAGGCCTTCTCGGTCCAGGGCTGAGAACAGCCCCTCCGCAGCAAGCAGGCCCTCTGAACATGCTTCCCCCAGCCCAGAAAAACAACTCAACAACACAGCTTTGTTCTGGGGACATTTTGGCTTGAGGGCCAGGGTAAAGCCGTATAGCTGAGCCCTTAGCCTTAGCGCCTCTCCATTTGCCCTATGTGGACCGCTCTGCAGGCCCCATCCCGATATCTGCTCCTTTCTCCGCTCTTCTTGTGTCTCACTGCTCTTTGAAAATAATGAAACTCTCAGTTGGTTGACTCCATCTCACACTACCCTTTTTCCCTGGTCCCTCCACCATCCTCTCCATCCCCAACTCCCCTTCCTGGCCTGCAGCACGACTCCCCTACCTTTGGCTGGGCAGGGCCCTAAAGGCTGGGAGAAGAGTCCGGGTCCTGGAGATTAGTCTTAGGACTTCTAAAAAAAAAAAAAAGTGCTCGGCCAGGGGAGAACTGGACGCCCCTCATTCCCCCCCCTTTCGTTCGTCCCTCCTACGTCCCCTTAAGCCCTCCCACATTCCGCTTTCTCCCTCCATTCCAGCCCGGCTAGTTCCCTCCTCTAGGTCTTCCCCTCCCTGGTGGAGCTGGCCGCTGCCGCGCCACCTCCCCCCTTTCCCTGATCCTCTCAGCTCAATGAAGCTTTTTTCCCCCCGCAGGTTGGAGGCCTAGAAGCTGCGGTCAGGGGGCTGGACTTGCAAGCGGCCATGGGCCGGCGGAGTGGCCCAGGCGGCGGCTCCTGTGGCGGCGGGAAACCTTCCAGTTTCCAGACCCCAGTCCTTCCTCCACATCCCCGGCTAGGTGGAGTGTAAACAGCCCAGTCCAGCTCGAGCTGAGCTACGGGCGTGTCCGCCTAGGGGAACTTAAATCCCGAGAGCCTACTTGGCCTCTTTGGTGCCCCAGGATGCTCGCGGGTGATGTCACGGCCATCACTCTGATGTCACGTTAAGCATATGATGTCACACGCAGCCCCCACGCCCAGGCGCGAGGTCTCCCAGGCTGAAACCACGAAGTTTTTCTGGGTGGAGCAAGCGTGCGCCCTTCTGCACCGAGCGCCGCTGGGCTTATCTGGGGACCCCGACTTCCTTCTTGCTCCTCTCCCTCCCTCCCACTCCCGGCCGCAAAAGCCCGGGGACCGGGCGGGCACGCCTCCGGCAGGGTAGGCCCCGCCCCAGCCCCTCCTCCCACCCGCTGGGGCAGGAAGCGCGGAAGGAACGCCTGGGGCCATGGACGGGGCTGTGATGGAAGGTCCGCTCTTTTTGCAGAGTCAGCGCTTCGGAACGAAGGTAGTGGGCGACAGGGGTTGCTCAATCCCATCAGGGCTAAAAGTGGGTGAAATGGTCCAAAAAGAGGGAAAGGGCGGGAAGCAGGTTGGAGCGCGGCGCCGGCAGCTGAAGAGCCCCGTGACGTTCCTTCGAAGTTGCTTTGCACACTCGGGAGAAGCGTGTGCAGTCTCCGGGTATGTCCTCCTTGGTGCTGGGGAAGTTCCCCTCACCAGGGAGCCCCAGACCCAAATCAGCCTGTTCGGTTCCCTCCTTCCCGGTGGGGTCGCGTGCTGCTCACACACTCTCGCGTCTCTCGCTCTCTCCCAGAGATGGAGGAAGACCTGGGCCGTGCTCTACCCGGCCAGTCCGCACGGCGTAGCGCGACTCGAGTTCTTTGACCACAAGGGCTCGAGTTCTGGAGGTGGCCGAGGGGGCTCGCGCCGTTTGGACTGCAAGGTGATCCGTTTGGCTGAGTGTGTGAGCGTGTCCCCTGTGGTCGTCGAGAGTCCCCCAGAGCCCGGCGCCGCTGCTTTCCGCCTGGACACTGCGCAGCGCTCGCATCTGTTGGCGGCGGACGCACCGTCCAGTGCAGCCTGGGTGCAGACGTTGTGCCGGAACGCTTTTCCGGTGAGGGGCCGGGGCTGGTGGCGGGAGGCTGGGGTGAGCCGCCTGGGCCTAAAGGATGCGTGGTTGGGGCATTAGAGCGGCAGTGAAGAGGGCTGGCTCAGGACCCCCACCCCTACTCCCACCCCACAGCCGTGTAGAGGGAAATACAGGGTCCCCATGCCCTCTCTTTACTACAGAAAGGCGGCTGGGCTCTGGCGCAGGCCGAGACCCCACCTAAGCTTTCTGCCCTGGAGATGCTGGAGAACTCGCTGTACAGTCCCACCTGGGAAGGTAGATACCTGAGAATCCTGGGCAGGGATGGAGGGGAAGGAAGAGAGGCTCTTGGGGAGTGTGGTGATTAGGAAGACCTTGAGATGTGGCTTACAAGTCAGTGCTTTGAGTCCTCTGGGTCCCCACCCTGGCCCCAGTACACCTTCCCCCAGGGTCCTGTCTAATTGTGTATTCCTTCCAGGATCCCAGTTCTGGGTAACTGTACAGAGGACTGAAGCGGCTGAGCGTTGTGGCCTGCATGGCTCCTACATGCTGAGAGTAGAGGCTGAGATGCTGACTCTCCTGACCTTGGGGGCCCAGGGTCAGATCCTGGAGCCACTCCTTTCCTGGCCCTACACTCTGTTGCGGCGCTATGGCCGAGACAAGGTGCGGTTGCCTGGGCGGGCTTCCTGGGTTGGGCAGCTGCAGGTGAGGTGGGGCAGAACAGGAAGGTAGGAAGCTCCACTCTGCAGATTGCCCTTTCTCTGCCTACACTATGACCCAGTAACCACCTCCACCCCCAGGTGGTCTCATCTTTGTAGATGCCCTAACTAGGTCAGGCCTAGTCTGACACTCCTTGTCACTCACCTTGTCTGACACTCCTGGTAATGTGTTTCCCTCCACCTATTCCTCAGGTCATGTTCTCTTTTGAGGCGGGTCGCCGATGCCCCTCTGGCCCTGGAACCTTCACCTTCCAGACAACACAGGGAAATGACATCTTTCAGGCAGTTGAGACTGCTATCCAACGGCAGAAGGCCCAGGGAAAGGCGGGACAGGGGCATGATGTTCTCAGAGCTGACTCCCATGAAGGGGAGGTGGCAGAGGGAAAGTTGGCTTCCCATCCTGGTCCCCAGGAGCTCCTGGGCAGCCCCCTAACCCTGTATGCTGAGCCCTTAGACTCCTTACGCATTCCTCCAGGCCCTTCCCAGGACTCCCTATACTCAGACCCTGTGGACAGCACCCCTGCACAGGCAGGGGAGAGGGTACAGTCAAAGAAACCTTTCTATTGGGACTTGTATGAACAGGTGCAGCAGCAGTTGCTGAAGGCCAAGCTGACAGACCCCAAAGAAGACCCCATCTATGATGAACCTGAGGGCTTGGCTGCAGCCCCTACCCGGGGTCTTTATGATCTGCCTCAGGAACCCAAAGATGCTTGGTGGTGCCAGGCTCGGGTAAAAGAGGAGGGCTATGAGCTCCCCTACAACCCGGCCACTGATGACTATGCTGTACCACCCCCCCGCAGCTCAAAGCCTCTCCCAGCTCCCAAACCTCTGGGCCTGGCCTTCCCCGAACCTAGTACTGCAACTGGCAGTGGCAGCAAAGGCCAGAGCTCAGATACTGTCTTGTACAGCCAGGTCCAGAAGAGTGGGGCCTCAGGGGGCTGGGACTGTGGACTTTCTAGAGTAGGGACTGACAGGACTGGAGTCAAGTCAGAGGGCTCCACATGAGAAAGCTGCTGAAAGGAGTTCCAAGGGGAGGTGGCACTGGGGATCAAAGAAACCTGTTAGAACCAGCAGGAATCAGGGTGGGAGGGGCCCATGTGAAACCAGGGGACCAGAGAAGTCAAGGGAAGGATGATCTGTCCCAGGAAGTCCTAGGAAGTGAATCAGATGCAGGGCTGAGGGATAGGCTCTAAGGAGGGCCAGCATACCCCCAAGCTAATCCTCGCTTAAAGGAATGGACAGCTACTGGACCAGGTCTATGGAAAGAGGTACTCAGTCACAGTGGATACAGTTTGTGGGGACTGTATGGAGGTTGCCTGGATCCTTACTCCTGCATTGTTTTTTGCCAGATAATGTATTTTTAATTTTTAAAAAATTCTCATTAAAGTCAGCTTGAGTTTAAGAGGTCTCTGTGTGTGAACAGACACAGAGGAGACACAGTGGTAGTGTATGGTGGGTGGGTGTGGAGGGGATCAGCCAGGATGTGTTGGGGGCCTTGGAAGGAGGAAGGGGCCCAAGGGAGGGAAGCCTGCAGTGTGACAGCTCAGAGCCTGGGTCCACCTGGGCTGGACCTGCCTCTGTGACCCTGAGGGAGTTGTATGACATCTGTAGTTCTTAACTCGCCTCTGCTGTCCCTTTGTAAAGTGTGAGAACTAATAATTGGCTCTACTTCATAAGGTTGTTTGTATGAAAGGGATGCATTTCTCAAGTACTTAGTGTAATCTGAAGCACAGGGAAAGCAGTTTACAAAAGGCAGCTGTTCTGCAGATGGAGGGAGCTGGCAGGTAGGTGGGGGAGGGGAGGGGACTTTTTCCACACCATCCTTTCCCCTGTGCTTGCTACCACTCCCCACTCCCAACCACTGCCCCAACACACACACACACACACACACACACACACACTTTGCATGCAGGTATCAAGAACTGGAGCTGACGGGAATTGGTGTGGTGGTTGTACAGGGAAGGGCACTGGCTCTGGAATGGGGCTTAGGTTTCAATCCTCCTGGTTTTTCTTGAGTTTGAAAACCTCATCCTTATTCCTGAGTTGTAGTTTCCAGAGGGTGACCTGACCTCATCCTTCTGCTTACACAGAGTTACAGGAGAAATTCAAGAGTGGAGGTTTGCTGGGTATTTAATCTTCATCTGTGTTAACAGTATCATATGATCCAAAAGAAAAAGAGAGTTCTTGCTAGAGAAGAGACAGGCTCCAGTGTGTGGCTTCTCTGCCTGATTGAGGCAATAGCAGCATTGGGAACAGAGGAGGGGAAGGCTCTGTTTTTGTCAACTTCAGCTCACAGATGCTCAGGTAGAGAAAGGGCAGGTCTGATCACAGATTGTCATTGTATATGTCTTGCCTTGGACATGAGGGAGCAGAGCTGCTGGGTTCTGGAGCAGGTGACTTAGGGCTGTGAGGGATAATCTTCCTCTGACTCAGAAAGTAGGAAGTCTTCTGAGGAAGCTTTTCTGGCTGCTGGCATCTTGGGGACTCTGCCTGGGGCTGGAGTCACTGGCAGAGGGACCACTGTGGCTCGAACTCGGTTGGTCTGCAATTGCCCAGCCTACAAAGAGAGCAATCAGAGTCCTCTCTGAAGCTTGACAGTTCCAAGCTTCTATTGGGGCCTCCAGTCCTAACTCCTTCATGTCCTGTCCCTAGAGTGACATCCTCAAGGCTCAGGATGGTAGCTGTGGAGTCCTCTGGGCTGTTGCTCTACAGTGCTGTCTCCTTGCCCAGTGTCCCTCTCTGTCAGCTTGCCCCCAACCTACCTCCAGCCTACCTTGTGGTAGGTTTTGTATCCATGATCTGGTCATTGCTCCTACCTCTAGATTGAGTGGAATTTGGACACATCCTCCTGTACTTGTATCTAAGACAAAATGGAGTTTTTCTAAAGGCTCAGTCACACAGAAACTAGGAAAAATTAGTAAGAGCAAAAAAGAAGCCCAAATATTACAGAATACGGGTCTCATAACACTTTACCTTTAATTTTTCTTCTGGCTTCAACCCTTGTCATCAGAGCCCTGTCTCCAAGCTACTAACCTAAGTCAGCTTCCCTTTTCTCATCTTTACAAATGTAACACTTACCATGCTGGGATGCTGTGAGAATTAAATGAGAAAATATGTGAAAGCACTTTTGTAAAGCCTGGCAAATAACTAGTGCTCTATAAATTGTCCTCTCCCTTCCTTTGGGCAATTCTTTTCCCACCTTCCCTTCAGTCTTTTCTTTAAAGTAGAGGGCCGTGGTTGTAGTTCCAAGTGTAGCCAGTTTGCTTAATGAGATAATTGCCTGTTAAATGACTAATGAGTTATAATAAACACTACAATTAAGACATCTAAACAGCTAGGTGTGTTGGTGTGGTTCTCATCTGTAATCCCGGCTCAAGAAAGCTTTGAGTCAGGAGGATGGAGAGTTCAAGGCTAGTCTGGGCCACATAGTGAAACTATGTCTAACAAACAGCCACAACAACAAAACTCCAAAGTGAACCCACCTAAACACTATCATATGTAAATGCTTAAGCAGACAAGCCTTTTATCCTGTAGGGGTTGTAATTTCTGTTGTTTCTTTTTTTTCCTTGGCCTGGTTCTCCCCTCCACCCAGAATGGGATCCAGGAGTAGGGCTGGTCCCTTGGGTCAGGTTGTTTGGGGACAGGGATGGAGGATTACCTTGGACTGTGGGCATAATGGGGAGGACAGGATGTAAAGAAAGCAGAGAAGGAGCCATACCTTTCTTGGGACCTGGCTCTCCCAGCCTGGGTAGAGCCGCCCCTGAGGCTTGGCTAAGGTGTTGCTCAGGTGTGAGTACAGGTGACTTCTAACCTCTAGGGGGTTGTAGGTGGGCTCCAGCTCCAAGCTGTCCAGCACACTCTGAGGAAGAGAGAAAGAGCCACATCCAGGGAACTTGAGGTCATAGAACACAAAATGTCACACAGAGACCTGGGGGTGTGAGAGGCTGGAGGAGTATGAAGACCCAGGGTTGCAGTTGAGGATGGGAGATAGATGAGTCCCACAAATTCTTCCTGTGATCTGTGTGCCCAGGAGTGTCAGGAAAGTGTACAGAAGTAGGTACAACCCCAAGTTGTTAGAGACTTCCAATGTTCAGGGGTTCTGAGAGGGGCTGAAAGGCTGTGGGTGGGGTGAGTATACTCAGGTTATATGGTAGGGTGGGGGTGCTCCGGTCTGCAAGGCAAATACACCAGTACACGGAGTTCCCTGCCTGAGCTGAGCTGAGCATAGAGGGAGGCACATGGAGCACAGCATTCCTGAGCAGTCGGGTTTTCCGGCCACAATATCCTGTGCCAGAAACCACTGGCCCTGAAGTGAGACACTGACTGAGCCACAGCCACTCGTGCCCGTACCTCTCTGTGTCTCTGTGCCTGCCATGCCCAGAGCACAATTCCAGTCTCTGTCATTTCTGCATGTCAGCTGGCAATCAGGCAGTGATGTGGTTCCAGTTCTCCCTGTCCAGAGCTTCCCCTCCCACTCCCAGTCTGAGAGATCAGGAGAGGAAATACAGAATCCAGACATAGGGAGGAGTGTAGGAGGAGAGGGAGTAAGAGAGAGAAGGGGGAGAGGGAGGGAACAGACTTTACAGCTGTTTGCTTCATTGCCTCAAAGTCTCATTTTGAGGCTCTTCCTATTCTTCATATTTACCTTGGCTTTTTTGTTGTTGTTTTTGGGTTTTTTTGCAGTGCTGGGGATAGAACCCAGGGCCTTGTGTGTGGTAAGCAAGTGCTCTGTCAATGAGCTATGCTCTCAACATTGGGACCTTTTACTCCTTTTCTCAATGAACAGAGATAAATACTCACAAATACATAATACATACACATACACTGCAGAAAATTAGACCCATAAGAACACAACATGACACAGACAGGAACACGTGGAGCCACACACTAAGGCATAGATATTGCCACCAATCTAGAGACTCATCATACACCCACTCAAGGGCACTAAAAACACTGCAAAGCATGAAAATCCATTCAAAGTTACCTGTTTCTTGGGTATCTCCTTTTACTCCCCCTCCTTTCTTCTTTATTCCTTTGCCTTTCACTATTTTATCCTTTCCCTTTCCTCTCTAATGTACTCTTCTCCCTTTTCCAACCTCATAGTTGCACTCTGCACTGTGGAAGTGTAGATGGGAGGAGGGTGTAGAAAAGCTAGCCTGTGCAGGGACAAAACCAGACCAAACCAAATGCAAACCAAGTAGAACTGGACCTGCCTGCCCTGACTTCCTCCTGTCTCCATTCTCCTTGCCTGCTATCAGCTGTCCCATTTGGGACATTTTCCCTTTTTCTACTTCACAGCTATTCACTGGTATTCATTTTAATCAGATTTCAGGTTGTATGGGTGGTATGTGCAACTGCATGCATGTGTGTGTGTGTCTATCCATATTATGCTTCCTGTGGATGTCACTAATTTCCAGGCTTGCTTATACCAATGGCCCTTTTTCTCTTTCAGTTCTCTCTTCTCAAATTTCATTTCCTTCAAGCTTCTCCCTTCTCCTTCATCTCTCACCTTGCTGCTTTAATCTAAGCAATGACTTCCTTCTGATCTCATTTCCTGTCCTTGCTTTCTTCTCTGACTCTCTTACCACACCCCTTGGGGCCATTCCTTCCTCTACTCTCCCATCTATTCCTTCTAAGACTCATTTCTCTCCCTCATCTCTTTCTTGAATTCTGTTCTCTCCATTTGTCTCATGAGATCTGGGCTCCACTTGCCTCCACAATCTTAAGGCTGTCTTCGGGTGGGTCTTCAGGCAACAGGGGGAAGAGGTTGGGTAGCATCAGTTCTCGTGTGGCCACTGCCTTCACCAGCAGAGTGAGGGAGCGTGATGGCACAATTACATAGAAGGTGCTGGCAGGAATTCTCTGACTGTGTCCTAGGCTCAGGGGTTCCCCTTTGGCCAACAGTAGCCATTCTCTTTTCTGCAACAAGGAAATACATCTTCAGTCTTTGGCACATTTTGAGGACAACTCCAATTTAGGCCTTGCTGAACTTCTCTAGGGATGTTGGGGAGGATAGAGCCATTTCACTTTGGCCCTAAGTGGGGCAGGGGGGGGTGCTTCTTGCCTGGATCACTAATACTGCAAGTACTTGCAAGTACTACTCTTTCTTCTGGTCCATGATGTGCCAGAGATAGTACACAACAAGGTTCATAATGGAGACATAAGCTAAGAAATGCCTTTTTGCTTGAAGCTGGTTCATCCCAAATAGATTATTCAATGGTAAGTGTGAATATTTAAGAATTATAATTCTTCATATAATTTTTTTCTTTTTGGTGATGGTGATCAGACCCAGGACCTCACTCATGCTAAAGCATGAGCTCTACCACTGAGGTACATCTCCCAGGTGAGAACTGTACTTGTTAAAATTAGTCTTGAAACAGACTTATAAAGGGTGGTGCAGAAACTCAGGTCTTATTTTGAGGTTGATAGAGTATGGTTGTGTTGCTATTGATGGATTAGAATAGACTGAGTGGAGGACACCCAGAGAGGGTTTAAGAAGCTGTTCAATGCAGCTGACAAAGCAAGAAGAGAAGGTGGGGATGTGGACAGGAAAGATTTGGTATGTCAAGGTAGCTGGTGGGAAGGGCTCTTGAGATCAATTTACCCAGTCACAGGATGAAATAAAAGGTTAGGATTCTGCAGAAGTGGCTGTGAGTGAAGAGTGTTAGCACTTTGCCACATACCATGGACATGGCAGAGGTTAGAACATGGGTAAGGAGAAGTGACAAGCAGATTTATAAGCAGATTTATAGTCACACCCTTTTAGATTTGATAAGGAAATGAAGGAATTTTCTGTGGTTGTTTTCCAAGAAAAAACACAAAACTCCAGGAAGCATGTAATCAAAAGGTTATAATCATCTGTGAATTGTGTCCTTCTGCTGGGGTTGGTCTTCAGTTACATCTGGCTCAAACATAATAATCTCCCTGCTGAACAGATGAAAGAAAGCCACCTTGTTCTACCCACTTTTATATGAAAAGTTGGATGAAATAATATAAGAGGAAAGGCACAAAAGAAAAAAGACTTTAAGGAGAAAAGAAGAGTATCAGTGTTTTGTGAAAAATATTGGGAAGTGGCACAGGGAAGCAGTTAACACCTGTGGCATCCTTCTTATATCCAGAGGAATGTGCTGAGGGCAGGGCTCTGACACTTTAAAGCAATGTCAGAGTCTGCTAGGCACCAGCACATAATGGAAAACCTGCTAATGTCTCCAAGAAGAAGAGGCATGACTGTTCCCGTGGTTGGTGGCCTCTTTGTAGGATGGCAGAAGACTGATAACTCTGGAGGTACAGTGCCTCCTCACTAAAAGGTTTTAGGAGGAGATAGATGATTTGGGAAAATTAATCATAACCATAATTATCATCACAAACATTAATAGAATGCCTACCAGGCACCACTCACTGTGCTAAGAGTATTTATGGGTACCTTTGGAAGTTCGTGCTTTCTTAGCATTTTCCTTATATCTGGTGGAATGCTCTCTTCCTGAAGAACAGATCAAAAATATGATGGAAAGTCTGCCAAATCCATCAACTTGAAAATAAATGACAAAGGAATCATAATATATGTGTAGTATATTTGCCTGGTCTGCGGAATAGCCTCTTTAAGCCTAAAAGGATAACTAGGAAATTGCAGAGCACTTCCTAGTTAAGTTGGCTTAAGTTTTTTTTTTTTTTTTTGCGGGACTGGAGTTTAAACTCAGGGCCTACACCTTGAGCTACTCTGCCAGCCCTTTTTATTGTGATGAGTTTTTTTCAGGATAGGGTCTCATGAACTGTTTGCCCAGGCTGGCTTTGAACCTCCATCCTCCTGATCTCTGCCTCCTGAATAGCTAGGATTACAGGCATGAGCCATCAGCACCAGGCTTCAAGTAACTTCTGATGGGGTTCAGGATTTGGATGGTTATTATTATTTGAGGTTCAGGGCCCACATTTGAAGATGCTACCCAAGTCATAGGTTGGGCTGCCAGGGTAGGCATTTGTATTTATGATGGACATGTTTAACTGCCATAGCAGGTATCTGAGGATGAGAAAAAAAGCTTGGGGATGTCCCAAGAAGGTCAGTCATCAAATTGAAAAATGCTTAATGACTGTAGGTGATTCTTGAGTTCTTTAGAATATGTTTTTGCTAATTTTAAAGACAGGAGCATGAGTTAGATGCTAAATTTACCAGAAAGTGGGTGAAAAGTTAATCAGGTTTTTTTTGGGGGGGTGGTACTAGGGTTTGAACCCAGGACCTTGTGTGCTTGCTTGGCAGCACTCTGCCACTTGAGCCACACCTCCTGTCCAAGTTATCTGTGTTTGTGTTGTGGTTAGAGACTTTGCCACAGAAGGTACTAACCCAGGAAACTTAGACTTTACGAGCAGGACTCTCTTTAGAGCAGGTGTGGATAGGCAGAATCAAATGGCATGCTCAGAGCTCAGTCACCTAAAGTCATGCTCTGCTCTTCCTCCACAACTTGTAATTACTAAAGCTGTGAAGGAAGGTGTGACAGCCATTCATGGTTAGCTAGCAACCACTCCCACTCCCTACTCCCTTCTTTCTACCAATTTTTCAGTTTTTGGTCATTGGTTTCAGGATGATCATGTGACTTGGATTTAAATGAGACATAAGCAGAAGTGGCTTGGTGAGTCTTCTGGAAAATTTTTGTTATATGCTGGTAGGGTTTTTGCATTTACACCCTATTCTTTCTTTCTCCTTAGGGCAGGTATTAAGGTGTAGTAACTACCTTGTGACCATGAAGTAATAGGCATAGGGATGATGGCTACCTGCTGTGGATTCTGGAACACAAAAATGGTCTTGTTGATCAATTGCATAAGCTCTGAAATTGTCTCCCTAGACTTCTTTTGTTTGGTGGTAGTGGATTTTTACATCCGGGCCTCGTGTTTGCTAGAAAGGCACTTTACCACTTGAACCACATCCCCAACACCTATACTTGTTACATATGAAAATTAAACTCTTTATTTAATTTATAGTTGGATTGGTTTTCTATTAGTTTCAGCCTAAAAGATTCTTTACAGATACTAAAGAGAAGGAAGATGATGTGGTTACTCAATTCTAGGGATACAGCTGAGGCAGGAGTAAAGGGAACAATTTTAGTGGCACTGGTGTAGGCTGTGCCTACATTGTGGAATGGCAGGTGGGAGTTTAGTACGTGGAAGCTTTAATCTCATCAAATCAGTACTCCCTTGATTTGCTATTAATATGATAGCCTGGGACTCAGTGCAATTATAGAAGCACTGACCAGTTCCTGAGTTGGTGGTGTTTCTGAGGTAGATACTGAGAGTAGGGAGGAGCAAGAACACTTACTGGGCTTTGCTTGAGAAAAACAAGATACATTTCATTGGTATAATGTACCTAGAAAGAGAAACCACAACCAGCTAAGGAAAAGCAGAGCATAACTTGGGTCTTTGGAAACTGGAAGTATGTAAGGAAGAACTTAGGTTAATTTGGCATTTGCTTCTTTTCTTGCAAAAGGAAGGAACCAGGAGGAGAAGAAGAAACTGCAATATTCAATACTTTTACTATGGTTTGAATATGAAATGTCTCCCACAGGCTCAGGTGTTGAGAGGTTGGTCCCAAGCTGGTGTTGCTATTTTTGCACATTGTACTGGAAACTTTTGGCCAGAGGAAGGTCACTGGGGGTGTGCCCTTGGGGGCTAGATCTTGCCCTGGTCCCTTTCTGTCACTTACTGCCTCAGGGTGATAGCCTTTGTCACATTCTCTGACTGCCATGATGATTTTGTCTCCAAAAGGGACCAGATTCAATGAAGCCAAGGAGTATGGACTGAAACCTCTGAAACCATGAGCCGAAATAAATCCTCCATAAAAGTCTAACTAACACAAATGCTGTTCTAACATTGGCTCCCATAAGCACCAGAAAATGGTAAAAGGGATTCCACTTTCTGAAACAACAGATTACACATTCTTCACAAGTGACAATGGAACATTCTTCAGGATAGAATACATTAGGCCATAAAACAATCTTTAATAAATTTAAAAAGATTGAAATCAAGCTGGACGCTGGTGGCTCATGCCTATAATGAGCCTCCTAGCTACTCAGGAGGCAGGATCAGGAGGATCACGATTTGAAGCCAGCTTGGGGAAATAGTTCCTGAGACCCTATTTCTAAAAAAAAAAAACCCACTACAAAAATACAGCTGGTGCAGTGGCTCAAGGCCCCGAGTTCAAACACCAGTACCAAAAAAAAAAAAAAAGAGAGAGAGAAAGTAAAAAAAAAAAAAAGCAGTGCAAGCTAAATCTAAATCAAGCAGAAGGAAATAAAAAATACTAGAGTGAAAATAAATTAAGTGAACAGAAAAATGAGAGAGACAAATCAGTGAAACTGAAAGTGTTTTTTTTTTTAAACCAACAAAATTGCCAAACATTTAGCTAGATTGGTCAAGGGAAAAAGACAGTTACTAAAATTAGAAGTAAAGGAAGGAACATCACTACTGACCTTAGTGAAATAAAAAGGATTGTAAGGGAATTCAACAGGTTAGGTAACCCAGATGAAATGGATATATTCCTAGAATGATCCAAGAAGTACAAAATCTGAATAAATGTGTGTTAGGGAACCTCAAGACCACTTTCAGGGTTGGTGATTTGCTAGGAGGGCTCACAGAACTCAGCATATAGTTGCCTTTGTGGACATGATTTGTCACAGCAAAAGGATATAAAGCAAAATTAGGAAGGGGAGAGGCTCATGAGGCAAAGAATGGAGGAAATAGGGTCAAGCTTCAAAGAATCCTCTACCTGTGGAGTCATACAGAGAACACTTAATTCCTTCAGCAATGAGTTATGACAACACATGGAAGATATCATTAGAGACTCAGTACCCAAGGTTTTTACTGGGGGCTGGTCATGTGGGGACCCTATACCTAGCATGTATCAAAATCTTAGACTCCTTGAAGAAAAGCAGGTG